GGTATGTGTGAGGTTTGAACATAAAAATTCTAAATTCCAAAATATTTTAGTAAGAGATTTACTCGTTTTTTTTTCAAATTACAAAGTCCTTATAACAAAATAAAAATTTTCTTAAATCCAAAATAATGTGATTATTACTTGCAGGCTGCTAACGATTATTTTTCAAAATTCATTGCACTTAACTGAATCTTATTCAAAAAGTGTTGAACTTTTGTAAGCTTTAGCGAAGTTATCAAAAACTTACTCACATATTTTTTTATCTATTTATAATTTTTAATTAATTTTGTAAATTAAGTTCAAAGAGTCAAAATAAATTAGGAAAATATTTATCTATCTTTACTTAATAAAATTTATTAAAATTCTGCCATTAATTTACTAGTGCTCTTATACCAAATAGATAGTATTTCATTTAAATTTATATTATAAATATTAAGTAAAAATCTTAATATAGTGACAATATTTCAGTTTTTCAAATAAAATAATTAAAATGAAATAAAAAACAAATTATTGTTTCTTAATTTATTTTGCTCAAATAAGTTATTGAAAATATTTTAAACGAAACTACAAAGGTCGTTGTTATTGTAGCAAAAGCAAAAATTTTCTATAATTTATATTGCTTTTATTATTAAAGTCTTTACATAATAAATGCAATAATTTTAAAGGTCCAGAGCAATATTATTTTGTTTAATAAATTTATTTTGCACAACAATTTGTTGCTGATTCATACACAGGGTAGTTCGGAACTGGTGTTAAAAGAACTCATTTTACTCAATTTTCACTTCATCTGGCAAATGGTATACGTGATGTATGGTATAAAAGTTATGTATAAGCAACTAAGTTAAAGAGTTATAGAACTTTTTTAAGATATTTTGGTTAAAGATTAACGACGTTTGCAAAAAATTTTAACTTTTTTTCTTGATGAATTATGTTTAAGCAACTATTATTTAAAAACGGTAGGTCTGATATTACTATATACATGTATCAGTTAGTTAAAAAAGATTCAAACAGCAAATTGCTCTATCTTTGGAACTGTTATCGATATTTGTTAGACAGAATTTTTTCAACCTGGTTTTCTTGCACCCTCCTGAATAACCTCCAGACGTCCGAGTTCCACCAGACAAACTATTTTTTTTTTTTCTAAAAACTTCCAAAAAATTAAACACAAAAGTTTTAGCTTCAGTGCCGCACCACCCTATACAATACCATTAAGGCAGGGCAATGAAAGCTGGTATCACAAAATCAATTCTTATATTTCCATAAATTTTGAATTGCTAAATTTTTTAAATATTTCGTACAAAATGCTAAAAATTTCCTAATATTCAAACATTGAAAATCAAATTAAAAATCGATTTATTTTCTAAATTATACATTTCAATACATATATACATATCTAAATAATCTAAATAACAAAATAAATATATTATGTTACCTATGTCTGTACGTTTATGTAATACTACCGGCAATTTATCGTAGATTGTAAATTGAAACTATTGCAATTGTAAAAGAAGTTTCAAATTCCAAAAAAAAATTAAATGTTTTCGAATTCTATGAAAATGAATTAAAAATGAAATTAATTTGCATACTTAGTTTACAAGACAGCACACTTCCTTTTAACAATAATTTACTTTTAGAACTAATATTTGTAGTTCTTTTCAAAACGATATAAAGTAATAAGTTTACATTATAGTTCTCCTTCGGCACTAGATTATATGTTTGAACAAGAAAAAAACTGATGACCAATTTCTTAGGTGCGCGGCACGTGCCGAATCCTGCGACAATGCAGGTGGTTTTGGTATTAGACTTACCGCATCTCGTTCAGATGGCGGGGAAAGCGACCATTCTGAGGCTAGCAGAGAATGGGGTTGCAATGATCACAGCCGAGGATCTAGATTGGGCTAATATTGTTATGAAATGCGGCAATGTATTTTGCTAATATGGTTAGAAAATATAGCTTCAAGAAGAACTTCACCTCGTTGCTGAGTGGTCGGAAGAGCTAGCGCGGCGAGTTTGCAAATTACCCGCTTTGAACCAATTAACCGCTTGATTCACACGCCGCTTGGTTCACACGCCATTGTGTGGTACACGGATGGGTCAAAGGTTTGCATGGGAAAGGGTGCGAGTGTATTTGGTTGAAGAACCAAGTTGTTCCAACCCAGAGGAACATACCCCTCCGCCTTTGAGTTGCAGGTGCACATCGTTTAGGTGGACGTGTGCTGTTCAATCTTGAAAGATATCGGGGACAGGATGTCGGTATTGTAGGGGCGTGTGCGATAATTAGTGAGGTCACAATAGATCATTTGTTTTGGTCGCGGTGCACTGTTACCCCAACTTTACAATCTTAAATCTACAATATGTTCCAAGAGAATCCATGTATAAAAACAATATACAATTTTCTCACTATAATAAAAACGAGAAAACAAATAGAGTTGACCTTGTCAACTCTGTGATACCCGTACGAATTTGTTATCGTATGTGCGAATAACTAATGTGCCATAACTAACTATGGGGCAGACTATGACTTTAAGTTGCCGTATTACCATATTAATTTATGCAAAATTTCAGTATTATGTGTTATTCAAAATACTGGTTGTGTCAAAGTACTATTGATGTTGTATGGCAGGTACCAGAAGGAGCCAAGTAATTTCAACGACTTTTATGAAACACATTGGCCCTACTAATATATTCGTTTGTGTGAAATTTCAATACCATAGCTTTAATAGTTTCTCAAATATAGTCAAATAACTTTTGAAGTTGTATGGCAGGTACCAGAAGGAGCCAAGTAATTTCAACGACTTTTACGAGACACATCGGCCCTACTAATATATTCACTTGTGTGAAATCTCAATATCACAGCTTTTATAGTTTCTCAGATATAGCCAAATAACTTTTGAAGTTGTATGGCAGGTACCAGAAGGAGCCAAGTAATTTCAAAGACTTTTACGAGACACATCGACCCTACTAATATATTCACTTGTGTGAAATCTCAATATCACAGCTTTTATAGCTTCTCAGATATAGCCAAATAACTTTTGAAGTTGTATGGCAGGTACCAGAAGGAGCCAAGTAATTTCAACGACTTTTATGTGACACATTGGCCCTACTAATATATTCGTTTGTGTGAAATTTCAATACCATAACTTTTATAGTTTATGAGATATAGCCAAATAAATTTTGGAGTTGTATGGCAGCTACCCGAACCGGTACTCCGATCATGTCCAATTTAAATAGGGTTCTGGCACTTACTACAATAAATCATTTGTGAAAATTTGGTGAACTTAGCTCAATTAGTTTTTGAGTTATCGTTCGGACGGACGGACGGATGGACGGACGGACGGACGGACGGACGGACGGACGGACGGACGGACGGACGGACAGACAAAGCTAAATCAACTCAGAATTTGACGCTGATCAAAAACATACACTTGAGTCTATATCTAACACCGTTATTTCTTAGCGTTACAAACGGTAAGGCAAATTTAGTATACCCTTCGAACATACGTTCGTACGGGTATAAAAATATGTACATGCAATTAATATTTGAATGTATGTATGTTTAAGTATACACAGTATTCATAACATCTATAGCAATGACATAAGATCAATAAATTGTTAAATATTGATTCTTGAAAATAAATTACAAACTGGTAAACAATTTGTAAAATTTTATTATTAATACTCAACGATTATTGATGTAAAATGGAAGACAAAAAGTAAAAATAAGGAAAAAAAATAAAAAAGAGTACATTCCCCAAAATTAAAAAGAAAAATAAATATATAATATAATTTTTGTATTTACACATTAACTTTTAATTAAAAAAGATTGTGCATTTTAAAATTGAAAAATTTTTATTTTATCTCTTAAATGCCTACCTAAAGCGGATGTAGTACAGGATATAACGCTTTAACAAGATTCATAAATAGTAAGTCAAATGTAAGAGTATAATGCAACACTTTTACTTATTCAAGTATATTGTAGAGCTAATATTATTCTTATATACTCTTATTGAAATTATTATTGTATTTTTGAACTTATTTTATGTTAAAATCCTTTTTTTCAACAATAAAAATATTGGTATTTTTTATTTTATTTATATTTCCTCGTTTCATAATTATTGCAAAAGTACAAATTTTTATATATCAATTATTTTATTTATTATTTGAACAATGAAATTCAATATGCTTTTTTTTTCTTACGTATTTTATTTTTTATTAGTTAAAGGTTCTTCACTTATGTGTTGTTTTTAGTAAAATGTTTATTTTACAATTCAAATTATATTGTTTTTTAAGTTTAAAATGATAAAAACAAAAATGATTCAAACAAAATTTTTACAAAATGAATACTGTAATTATTGTCAGTACGAAAAATCAAATTAAAGGAATTTTTTATATTCATTTCATAAAAATAATTTAAATCAACAAATTTACTGTGTTACATACAAAAATAAGTAATACCATTCAAATAAGAAAATTTCAACATTTTTTTCAACATATTTAAAATAAGAGATTTAACTTTATAAAAATAATTCAAAAATAATTAATATTTTATTAATTTTTATAACTATTAATCAAAATTTGACGTTATTTGTTTAAGAACGTCTATACGAGTACGTACATAAATTGCTCGATACAAGTCATAAGTTAATATAATTCAGTGTTCAAAAGCAAAATAATAAATGATATATTCTGGAAAAGAGAAGTTATTTTTCAAGTAAGATTTAAATTTGAAGATTACCCTTTCAATTGATTCATATAAAGAAACCAAATCGGATAGAAAATTATAAAATATCAAATAATTCAAAATAAAAAATTGTAAGTTGAAGAAAAATATTATTTGAATTGTTATTTACCATCATTTTTATTTTTAAAAATATAGAAAACAATTTCTTTTTAATTTTTTATATAATTTTTATATATACATATAAAATTTTAAGATTAAAGAACAAAAACTAATTTTCAAATCTTTATTCTCTTTTATTTATTTCATCAAATAATTTATATAGATTCACCATATCACGATGTAAGCGGTTTACCTGATCCCTATATGGAACAAATGGAGCAGGATGATACAAAACCACCACAACAACATATGTCACTTAGTTATGATGAAAATTTGGAAAGTGGTTATTCAACACCGAATTCAAGAAATCGTCGTGTCATAAGGGAAATTATAGTCTGAAAATATAATATTCAGGGTGCATTCTTAACATCTCCTTCTCTTTTTTTCACTATTTTAGTATAATATTTTTTTTTTTAACGTACACAAAACTAAATTTAAATTACAATTATTATTTTACACAATAATTTTAAGTATATAAGAGAAAAAGTATAATTAAATAAAATAAAATTGTAAAGAGAAAAAGTAAAATCTACAAAACACAATAGATACATTTATATATTATGTATAACATTAAAATGTAAAAAAAAAATAAATAAAGTTTGCAATTTATAAAATGAATATGAAAACTGACGAAAAAAAAATCAAAAAATTTTATTATATTTAATTCAATTCGAATATGAAAAATTGGAAAAAAAATTGTAATTAATATTTTTTACAATTGTAATTATTAAAAAAAAAAGAACCTTTTTTTTATTCAAAATAAACCTTAAAATTGACATCATAATGCACTATTGGTATAAAAAGAATTTCAAAAGCAAATAAATTCAATCATTTATTTAAAATATTTCTATTTTATTATATAATTGTAATTATTATGTTTATGTAATTTTAATGAAAAAAAAATATATAGAAAAAAACAATTATATTAATTATAAAATTCTATAACAATTTTATTTTAATTGTTAATAATAATTTACATTTTTTTTATTTTAATAAATTAATCAAATTGACAAAACATCCGAAAATTATTTAAGTTAAATGTTTAAAAATATAATTTTAATATAGTGTTAAATATACATTCATATAGGTATATATAGTATATAGGAATACATTATATATAACAATATAAATATTTAATACTATAATTAGTAGTAAAGAACATAAAAATAGAATGAGAAAAGTTTTCAAATTTAATTTTAAATTTAATCATTTTGGATTTAAACTTAAAAACACTTTTAAGTACATTTATACTGACGTATTAGCCTTTCTGTACTATTAATTCGGCCAGGTGATATTTATTTTTTTTTATTATTTCAAAAATTTTCCGATTATTATATTATTTCAATTATACAACAATATAACAATAAATTGTAGTATAATTTTTAATGCAAAGCTTACGAAAATAATTTTTAACTGAGAAACATAAACCGGATTAAATACGGAGATTTAAATTAATTCGCCAATGCCACAAATCATTACCACTTTCAAGCTTTAACTTATTTCTTCTCAAAAATGGAATGTATAAAATGCGCTAAATTATCATTCAATCGAGTTTGTCTACCTCGATTGATTTACTACAAATAGTAAAATTAAGATTTTTTAAAAATATTAAAATCTATAAAGATATTTTAATTTACTTTATTGATCTTGGTTCTTAGTAACTTAAATTCATTCTAAAGTAAGATAAAAGAAAACTGCTCCAACAATTTTACATTTATTTTAATATAACAAAAGAACGTTATCTGTTCTTATTAATAGTCCGGACAAGGAAAATCAAGAACTTAAAGATTTGATATTGTTTTTAAGTGGTAAATCCAATGAAAAACGGTATAAGAATGGAAATAGATGTATATTTTTATTTAGTAGACTGATTTTATTATACACATACTTTATTCTCTATGTAATTATGCAATTTTTTATTTTTTTTTTATTTTTTTTTTTAATGATACATAATATTAAATTAATATTAGAATACCGTATAAATATATTATGTATTTCATATATTTTATTAAATATGAAATCTCTAAAAAGCCATACTTTTGTTCTCCACTTATGGAAATATAACACTCTACGTTTTAAAATACTCCTAACACTCCTGGTGTATCGGCCTATAATGAAGTAGTTAAGAGTAGTAGTTATGCATATTTATGTTGGTAGATATACCTTAACATTTTTATGAGTAAAAGATAAACATAAAATCTTCAATACCTTTTCAATACTTCATAATTTTTAGAAATTTTTCAATCAAATTTCAATCAATCAAACACAATACATGCAACTACAGAGTTTAGTTAGTTTTTGTAAAATAAGAGGATGTAGTTACAAAATCAAGGGGAAAAAAAAAGAGGAATGAGACAACTTTCGCCTAATTTAGTTTTCGTTTCAAGTGATGTGTAATTTTTTTTAAAAATTTTTTCTTAATTATTTTCTTTATTAAAAATATGAAAAAATTTTATTATTTCGGCTTTTTTTCTATAAATATCTTAAATGTTGCGTGTTTTTCAACTTTTAATTTGATACTTTCCGAGCTCTGTTAAATCGCTTCCCTTTTCAAGTTAACTTCATTCAAATAAACGTCACAAAAAGAAGGATGTTCCGTGCATTTCAGTCATATTCAATTTTAGTATTTAATCAAAATTATTTAAAAAATTGTTTATTTCTAAATTTTCAATTTATAATCAAATTTTTAGTAAGTAAAACAGTTTTATAATCAGAAAAATCTAATTTCAATAGGAAAAATAAATAAAAAGAAAAATTAATCAAACTTTATTTTAATCCCAAAAACTTATATTTTGTATTTTATTAAAGATTACAAATAAATTCCAAATAAATACACACACAGACAATAGCTATAACAGTAAAAATAGAGAAAACGAGCGCAATTTTAAAGGAAGTAGCAAATTATAAGATTTCTAAATTAAAAATGTAACCTACTTTTTTATTCTTTCTTTATTTTTGCTTAAGAAAATTTCTAACACAAACAATTTTAATAAATAACACAACCACAAAATTTATAAACCAAAAAAACAAAAATTAAATTTCTATTTCACTTTACATAGATCCTGAAAAACTTGCTCAAATATTTATTTTTAGTTTAAATAATTTTGATAAAATAATTTTACAAGCAAATTATAAAAATATATTCTTTGAGGAAAATATTTATAATAAAGAAAAATTCAAAGTTTTTCAAGATTTTTATTTGTTTTCAAATGAGAGAAATAAACAATTTTTTTTAAAATTTATTATTTACTGTCAAGGCAGTAACGGTATTTTTCAATTTGTACTTTTGTTTTTTTTTTTTAAGGCAGCAACGATAATGTCACATCATAATAAAGAGGAGCTCATTAAATTCCTTTGTAACGAAATTAACTGATACTTAAAAGAACGAAACCAATTTTAATTCAGATATTCTCGTTTTCTCAATGTACAATTTTACATTCTCGTTTTCTCAATGTAAGAGATTAGGGCTCTAAAACTCTTATTTACAAAAACAGAATTTAAATAAACTTTAAAATCAACTCTATTCAATAAAAATACTTAAGTCGTGCTGCTCTATCAAACAACTTTATTGTTTTAAGGCAATTTGTATAACGAAATTTTAAATTTTAACCAAACTTCATATTTTCAATTTTGTATTATAATTTTTAACAATAAAAATTTATAATTAATTAAAACATAATGTTATATTAATTGGTATATATATAATATAGTAAAACACTGCCATTTATATACCATAGCAGATAAAATGTACAAAAAAAATAATGTAATTATACACATATTTTGTTTTTATTTTAATAATGCCCACTATATTTCATTCGTATATAATCAAGTGCTTTTTCAAAGATACAATTTCACTTCGTCCTTTCTATTATAGCATAAATTGGAGTTTTCTAAAATAATATCAAATATTATTAAAATTATATATATATATATACAAGAAGTCCAAAAAAAATTTAATGTAATAAAAGAAATTTTTTGTTTAATTCCAATTTTATATTTTTAAATACTTGAATTTAGCATATGAATATGCAATATTCACTTACAAAGACGATAAAATCAGAACGAATTTACAAGTACATATACACATATAATATTTTGGTATACAATATATAATTATTATTGAAATTTGTTTACACATAAGCTTATATTGTGAGCTTTTGGAGAAATACTCTGTATTTAACATTTTGAAAATATTAAAATAATTTCAAATTAATTGGAACAAATGAAAAAATGCAGAATTAATTCGGCACTATTAATAATCAGTATAGCTATTTTTATTAAATAACTAGAAATATGTAGAATTTAGTGAAATTTCTACTTCCAAAATTATATGGAAAAAATTTGAATTATTTCTTATATTAAATAGAGTGTTTAACACATAAGACCTCGAACAAAATTCAATAATATTTATAGAAACTTCTTAATATTTTATTCAAGTGCAAATCATTTTTTTTTTGTTATTATTATTATTATTATAATTTAGAAAAAAACAAACTACTTTTTAACTATGAAGACCAAAAATTTTAAAAACTAAAATCTTAAACTTCGAAATCTTCCCAATTGACATTGAAAATGTTAAAAAAAAATATTACAATGTACATTTTATATAAATTATAAGTATACACATACATATTTTAAAATAAATTTTAAATAATTATTACTTCTTGTTTTATAAGAAATTTAAATAAAATTAATTTTAAATATTATTAAACATATTTTATATAGATAAAAACCTAACATACATGTATTTATATTATATAAGAAATTGTAATAAAAAACATCGATAACATTGACACGTACGTTCATCCAAATTCCATTTGTAAAAGTTTCTGCTAAAAATTTCAAACAAATTATAAATATTATATAATACATACATATATGCATATTATACAAATACTTACAATGTATTAAAATACTAATATTATACATATAAAATATATATATATAAAATAAATTGAACAAAGATAATTAATTTTTATTATTATAAATTAAATTTAAATTTAAAATGAGAGGAAAAAAAAACAAAATTAAAAAAAAATATAGGGTTCATATACAACTAAATTATATACATATATATAAATATATTTAAATAGGTAGTTAAGTAAATAGATATTTTGAAAATGAAAAATAAAATAAAATTTATAAATTTAAAAAAAAACAACACACATAAGTACATAAATATAATTAAGAGAACAAAAATTAAGTAAAATTAATTTCAAAACTATGAAATAAATTCAAAAAATTGTAAAATAAATTAATATATTATAAAAAATAGTTAATAACGCGAAAATAAAAAAAAAACTAAATGCAAAACAAAAAATAAAAGAATCAGTGCTGCTTTTTTGGCAGGTACCTTTGATTAAAAAATTAACTTACAAAAATGTGTAAAGCAAAATAATATTGCATCTATATGGAAGCTATGTGTACATATACATACATGCATACATAAATATATGCATAAATATGACATACATAATATAAACTGGACTTGAAATTAAAAGTGTTTCGTTTTATTAAGAACTAAAAAAAT